GGATTTCAGGGGGGTTCTCACCATTCCTGGATAAGAATGGTTAACTGTGCCTAAACTACCTCAGCAAACAGTGTGCCTTATGATGCACACTTCTTTTCCTCTGGCAGTCTGGAAATTTGGTACACGCTAGGCAAAGGGTGCCTATGTTACCAGTTCTCATTAAAAAACCTCAGCATGAATCTCTAATGAGCTTCTCTGACAGACATTTCACGTGTGTTGTCATGACTGAACCCTAACTAGGATAAATCCAGCGAAATCCATGCCTACACACATTATAATCAAACTGATGAAAACTAAAGACAAAGTCTTCAAAGCAACCAGAGAAAAATGACAAATTACCTACAGGGAAACAATTGATTTGAATGCCTGCAGATTCCTTTTCAGAAACCACGGTGCCATCAGACCTGCTCTAAAAGAATTGATAAATGACATTCTTCAGTCAAAAGAGAAATGACATAAGAAGGAAACTTGTGACATCAGGAATGAAGAGAGAGAAACAGAAATGGTAAATATATGCGTAAATATTACAGACTATTCTTTTCCTTATAATATGTTTGATGGCTGAAAAAACTATAACATTGTTTGACAGGGTTTATAATGTAATACATAAGACAACAAGAAATATGGTGGAGGGTAAAGGGTGATAAAGTTCCTATATGCCAAATGAGCAGTAAAATGATTTTAAGTAAAAAATGAAAAGTTAAGTATGTATTTCATAATTCCTAGAGCAACCACTAAGCACATTATATAAAGAGATATAGTCAAAATCACAATAGATAAATTAAAATGGAATAATACTAAATAATGTCCAAGTAACTCAAAAGAAAGCAGGAAAGGGGAAACAAAGGATGTAGAGAATCTGGCACTCTAGTCCACCGCTGACAGGAATGGAAAATGCTTTTGGAAAACTGTCAGTTTCTTAAAAAGTGAAACATATACGCTGGCCAGTTAACTCACTCAGTAGAGTGTGGTGCTGATAACACCAAGATCAAGGGTTAAGATTTGTACTGGCCAGCCACCAAAACAAAAACAAACAAACAAAAAAAACCAAAAGTAAAACATATATAGTTGTTCCACTGCTAGGTATTAACCTATGAGAAATAAAAGAACTATACCCATACAAACACTCATGCATGAATTTTCA